GGGTGATGGTTGGAGAGTTACAGAGGTGCAGGGTGGTTGTCACCTACTGGTGTTACCACCTGACTGGATTGCATTGCTAGATCTGGTTCTATACTGAAAGCAAATTTGAAAAAACATAGCCCTGTGTTGAAAAAATGGCAGAAATTGTGTAGATTTAGGGATTTGTGGGTTTGTGAGAGAGGAGAATAAGAGTCAGAGGTTGCTCAGGTATAGAGAAAGGGTGGTGTGAGCTAGGCTGGGTGACATAATCTCTAGGGTAACCTAATGTCCATCAGCAGCTGGTGGCTGCTCCAGCTCAGATCAGTGGGAGCAGGACACAGAAAACATCAAAGCTGACTTACGATTTACTGAGCTGCCCACATCTGTTCCAGTAGCTGTCGCTTACTTTAATTACCGGGGAACGAGCCAATTGCTCTGTGAAGTCTGCATAGCAACAGGAAGCTGTTGGGAATAAAACAAAGATCTTGCAATAAGTGTTCCTTTTTAACACTGTACTTGGAGGACACAAAATGTAAGATGAATCTGGTTTGAACCATAATATGATGAAGTCTCTTAGTAGTAACTAGAAGATGTACTCAAGCTCTAACAATTTTGGATGTGAAAGTGGCAGTGTAAATGCCAGGTGAGGCAGACTGGCATAAACAGTGCTTTGTCAAGTTGTGCCCAGAGAGTCCCAAGAATTTTACCAATGTTCTGCCAGACGCTACATCCCAAGGGATACTAACTTTGAAAACTACAAAACATCAAAAAAAAAAGAGTTGAAGAATTTTAATAAGCACAGTACTTTGCTTACTATCGAATTTTGATGTCAAATTTTCCCACTTGGTGCCTGCTACAATTGATTCTTATACTTAATTACAATAAACCAAAATAATCTATGCTGTAAACATTTTTAAGCAGATGGAACTACAAGAAAGGCAAACTGCATCAGAGTTTTGAAAAGAAAATAAATGAAGTCCATGAGAGTTTTACAGCTGACTTTGTTAAGACCCAGAATCTTACTCTTGGTTTGCATGCAGCAAAATGCCAGTGAAGGAGGCTTTTCAAATACAATGTATACTGCATCTTATATATTTTTGAGAAATTAGGGGAACTGCCAAAACAATAAGTATGTACAATTCTCTACTTCTTGACCATATTTGGAAAAAATTAAACCACTCTTACATTTAGAGTAGAGAGTGCACTCTTGCATATTTTTCTCAGGACCTGGCTTCAGTTTTTGGGTGTCCCCCTCCAGACATCCATATTTTTGGCAGGTAGATGATGTTATGACAGCAAGGAGGGTGACAGCAAACCTCAGCATTCTTCTTCAGCTCTTTTTCCTGTATGGAGAGAAGTCTTTGTTTACATCCTTTATTTCTAGGAAAACCCATAACATTAATAGGAAGGACTGCATTTAAAAGACTACATGTATAATCAATTAAAATGTGTTCAGCAAAGATGCACACAGAAATACTAAGACATATTCTCCCTTCCTATTTGTTTATAACTGAACGCTTACCCTTCTGTTACATATTTCTAAGGTTTGGTGGCAAGTGATAAAAGTCATCAATAATTCAGACTACAGATGAAAACATGTTATAATTGTCAGTATTTAAGAAAATTATTTAAAATTTCTTCCACTGAGCTGAATTATTTTTTAAACTTTCCAAGAGACATTGGTATGTTTCACTAGATTTGAAGAAAATATTGATTAGTTCTAAAACCTGAAGTGTTTTTTTGCACACTTGGAAATTATGCATTAAGTACAGCTGCAAGTGAGATAGTACTGTTTACCACCTGAGCTGGATAAATTATATTGAATACTCACCTTTGTTGAAGCTATGCTAATTTATATTTAATAATCTGATGCATTATTTTCTGCCTCTTTTGTAGAGTCTGGTCAAAAATGCAAGACAAAAATGTTTTGTCTTTATGACCAAAATTTCTCTAAACACAGGCTATACATTAGTCACCTATAAAGATAAATCTACAGCTTGTTACATAAATCAATGCATTATTCTTTGTACATATTATTAATTTAATCTTTCATTCTTTAGTTAAATATACCTGTTAACTTTTTGGAATAATTTTGTCTGAATAAGCACTGCTGTTCTTTTATGTACCTATACTTTTCAGGTATAAAGAAAAATTTATACAGAAGAAGAAAATTATCTCTTTGATTTCTCAGTAATTTCTCACCTCTTTTGCTTTCCTTCTGGGTGATACTTTCCCCTGGAACAGGAAGGCAGTAATTTGCTTTTCCCATTTTCCACTTTATATACACACCATCTGGCATCAGTGTTACAGAATTTGTTTGCCCTGGAAGAGTTCCTTGACCCTTTGGAATGCTAACACAAATTTATCTCAAAAGCAGATGCAATGACCAGCACATAATGCCCTTTGATAAAGAGGAAAGTACAAACATGGGTTAGAATTAGAAAAACAATAGCTCTCCTGTATTTCAAATGCCATTAAATCCTCCTGCCTGATTTTTCCATGATTCCTTGTATTACTAATTATTAAATTAATTTCTACAACAGTTTCATGGAGCTCTCACCACAAATTCAGGCTTCAGCAAATTCAAGATATTAAATGCTTCTTATTTCAGCCTGACTGACTTAATTCTGACTGATGGCTTGCCTTGTTACACAGTAATTTTACTACATTCCCTGGAAGATGGTCCATGCCTCCTGATTCCCAGTTCTTTGTCCTCTCTTTGTAGGATCCCTTCAAAACCTGCTGCTGTTCACCCTGGTTGCTCTATACCTGTCTCATATGTACCTTACAACCAGTCTCACAAGCACTACAAGAAATGGTTGATTGTACCACTGATAGTGGCTCTTGATGGGATTTCATTGGGAAACCTGCTTTCTGCAAAGAGCATTTGCATCTAAACGTAAACCATTGGTGGTGATGATAAATTGTTGCACTCATTTTCACAGGTTGTCTTGCTGTACTGTAAAAAGCAGCACCCCTCAGCACCTTGCAATTATTTATATGCATAAAGAAAGCAGCGTCTGTTGGTTTTGTGTTTTAAATAGAACACTGATTTGTCAGTCACTCTGAGGCCATTATCTACTAACCTTTCATTTTTTTGAAAATACAAACCGTGGCACAGTAGAAGTGTGGTATGATTCTCAGTGTGCAAAGGCACATGCATGATAATAAAACAATCTCTACAAGCTGTAAGCACTGATTCCTATTCTAGCTCTAGTAAATGCCTCAAGGTGAAAGTCTTGCTGGCCTAAAAAGAGCCTTTTCCAGATCAGTGGAAACTGAGCAATTTTCATGTTCCAGAATGAATTTAATTAAGGCAAGTTTAGAGAATGAATTTAATTAAGACAAGTTTAAAAAGGCATAAAGTAACTATAGGAGAAAATTAAGTAAATCTAATGGCTTATTATCCATGCTTTCACCTCATGTGGCTTGATCTAGTGTTGGCTGAAATTCATGGGGCTCCTTGCTGCTTTGCAAAATAAAGGATTGGTGTGTGCTGCTCGGCACTCAGATCTGTGTAGTCATAAAAAATAAAGACCAAGGTATAATATGAACATTGACCTTCAATCCTGTGAGGAGTGGACAGGCTGGCCAGCCTGGTGAAAAGCACAGAAACAGTCCATGCTCTGCTCCTTCCTCCTTGGTTTGTGAGAAGTACATGGACACTGGTGAGGTGTCAGCATGCCAGGAGGTTCTTGTAATGCCTCTGCTCACTGAATTGGCATACAAATTGTATTAAGCTATAGGAAACTGGGATCGTTTTCAGGCTTTGAGTATGAGCCAAATGGGACCGCTTGCTGGGAGATTAGGCAGAGTTTCTAGCAGCAGGAAGGAAAATTGTCATATGTTTGTGATTTCCCAGACTTGGCTTTGGTTAGCAGTACATGTAAGCAGGCTCAGGCTAAGGAGTTTTTAGTGATGTTGGCTATACATCATCTCCTGAGAAGTGAATCTTGATTCTTCTATTCTAAAAGTATTTTCTGCCAATTGCTTTATCTGATATCTTATACTGGGAAATTTGTTAAAAGGAATTTTCTTACCTCTTTCCATACTTGAAGGGGTCATTTATCCTCATTTGTTAAAATTTAACTTATTTGAAGCACTCAGTGATATTCTTGTACTTTAAAAACTCCTACTGTCATTTCATTTTAACTTTATTATCAGTACTCTGTAACTTCTATTCATCTCTTCAGAAGCTAGAGTGAAAGCATGGATGATTTTGAGGTATTACCACAGACAACAATTCAGGCACCACAACAATAAACTATTATCATCTGATGATCTAATTGATAGTGGCCAATGGTGTTAGCAAACCCATGCATCTATTCCAAACCCACAAACACTGTTACACTAGGTCTCAAGAGTCATCTACCTGAGCAATTTCCTTCTGGCACAAGCCATTGGCAGAAAATTAGGGAAAAAATGTTTAAAAAATATAGTTTGTAATTTCCCAGCTTCTGGCAATCAGTTTAGTAACTATGTGAACTGACATCTCGTAACTCAACTGAGTGATTCCTGCTTTGTGAGTCAGATCTCTTTAATGACTGCAGCAAGCTTTCATACTTTTATATTCTTGGTAACTCTGCAAAGCCGATGTGGTTAAGGGAAAAATTGTTTGTGCTTCCAACCAGTGACAATTGCCAGATCCATTTCCCTTCTTGGCACCCTGAAAGTGTAACAACAATGTGACTGGAGGGAGACTGAGTTTCAAGAGTGTAAATTAGAGCATTTGGCCTGTTACAGCTTTATTAGACATGGCAATGTCTGCTAATGAAATTAATCTGTTTGTTCCTCATGTCTCAGCGTGAGTCTGCATGCTCAGAGGTTGGAAGTGTTTTTCTTGTTAACTGTAACAAAAAATGTAATTAGGAGTACAGGTTGTTATCTAATTTAGTGATGCTCCTTTAAATGGAAAACTTCCTTTAAAGTTGCAATAAGAACATGTTATTTGATGATCAGTGAAGTACATAACCTGGACTTCCATTACGTCAGACTTTACAACTGAGAGTTTGTCTTCACAGGTCCTGGTTGCATGTATCATGTGACAAGTCAAGCTGAATGCCAGGGGAGACACTCCAGATGGACTCAGTCTGGCACTTGTGACTCTGGAGAAAAACAGCTGAGGTCAAATCTTAATGCTACTGAATCTGAGGTGTGATTTGTTTCAGTTCACTGATAGCATTTCTCCTATTTTTTTCTTGGTGTAAGGAATACATCACAGAACAAAGTAAGGCTTATTTGTTTTATTTGAGTACACAAATGTTGCTGAGCTAGTTCTCCAACAGGGCACAGGAATGACAAAAGCACCAGTAATTTTATATAATGAAGAGTGTGAGTCAGTGGTGGGTAAAAAAGCAGATATTTTAATGAATGGTAGGTTTAAAAAGGAATCACAACCCAAACCAACAAAATTAGAATTGTAAAAATGTCATTTTAAGCCCCACGTTAGGCTTTTCAAAATTAAAGGGGACAAAAACCTACTTATTTCAGCTTATTACTGAGTTGAAAGCACCTCTTGAAAGCATAACAGAATGCTCTTCCTTTGCCCTAGTCTTTCATTTGCCTTTCACATTCTGCTAGTCTGTTACTGTGGGGTTCCTTGAACCACTAACAACTACTGTTAGTTTTTCTACAAAGAAGGGTTTGGATAGCTCCTGACTGGTGTGAAGGGGACTTTCACAAGTGACAAAGAAAATCTGTGTCCAATTTGACCTATACTCCAGAAATAACCAGCTGCAATCATGTTTTGAATTTAGACCATTAATATTTAACTGAATTTTCTACATCACTTATGTAGAAATCACTTATGAGTGATGAATTTCCTCTTAGGGGAATAGCAGTACATTTTAAAAAAAATTTACACTTGTATATGGGTAATCATTATTTGAATAGAGATAATGGCTAGATGTCCCTGCCCAAAGTTATGATGTAGTGTTTTAAAGTACTTGGTGCCATTACTGGATTCTGGGTGGCCACGTCCCACAGTCCCCTCTGTGTCTTGATCCTGGACTGCCCCTTTCCCTCCACTGTCCTGGCACAACTCACATGGGATTGTGCACCCAACCAGATGGGGAAAGTGATACAGCAAAAAGAAATCTAGTGCTCCCCTTGCCTCCAGTGTTTCTGTGTGAATGAGTTTCAGTTCAGAGCACAGCTGAAGAAGAGTTTTGTTGCTGAAAAGGTTGGTGTCACACTGAGAGAGACACGTGAGGGTAGGACTGGCCGTATTTTCAGTCAGAATTGCCAGCCTCTGTGCCCTACTGTGTTGACATTCTGTGCTGTTTTGTTTTTTTTTTTAATTGTTATGTTGAACATCTTGTAATAAAAATGAAGAGCTGACAGGTCTATAGAGAAAACAAATAATGCAAGCACAAGGTAACAGTGAGATCATACTGGTCAACATATTAGAAGGCAGTGACTGGAAACCACCAGATGAGTCACTGCTGAGCTTTTCCTGCTGGCATCACTGCAGGGATGAATGTTAAGGACACACTGTCTGTGATGAATGACTCCCATACATGCCATATTAGTCCTAGTTAGCTTGACTCATTGTCCTGTGATGATTCTGTGGTTAGAAAATTGACCACAACACTCATGAAACAGGTGGGTTTTTGCCCAGTACTTTTGTTTACATTGTCATCTCTCTCTGCACCCCTCAAATGGCTCTGCTCTCTGTTGTATAAACCAAGACTTGTTTTTGCTTCCAAATCCTTCCTCAGTTATCTAAGGCACTCTTTGACTGTTCTCTTTCAACACAGACACCTTAAGTCTCTCAAAGTATCCCAGTGCCAGCCTTCCCAGCATACCTGTTGGATTTCCAGGGCTGCTGTTTTGTATTTGTCATCTGTTTGGGAGGTGGTTTTGTAAGTAACATAGAACCATGTGTAATCCTCCCCTTGGCCCTTCTTAAATCTCATGTTTGTTTGGGTGCCAAAGAGAGGGTGGCAACAGTTAGGATCTGAATGTACTCCTGATGTCCTATCTCTCCCCCTTCCTAATGTGCTTCTCTTTTTGGACCTTTCAGAAATACACACAAATATAGATATTTTTGTGTGGATGTATTTTGTCCTCTGTTCACACACAGGGGTAGCAGCCCTACTGTAGCAACTGCTGTACAGTCAAGCCCAAACTGAAAGAGAACAGCACATTCACTGGCCTCTTCCTCTGTTTAATGCTCTAATGTGTTTGATGAGTTCTTGTAGCTAAGAAGTGCTGTTAACTTAGCTATTGCACTAGGCTCTCCTGATACTTCACAACCATAATTTTGAACTTCTACCACATATTTTCATATTTTCATATTTTTATCTTCTACCTCCTTATCAGACACACCTAGAACAAGTTTAGAACAGTGTTAATTTTGAACTTCTACCACATATTTTCATATTTTCATATTTTCATATTTTTTTCTTCTACCTCCTTATCAGATACACCTAGAACAAGTTTAGAACAGTGCAAAGCTGTCACTTTGACATACTGCATCACTGCAAACACTGATACGTGTCCTTCATGGTATACGAAGAAGGAAAATAACTATTGGAAAGCAAATCATATCCAGTTATGACTAGAATTTTGCTATATCTAGATCTAGTAATTGCCATTCATATGTCTGCTGGTTTACTTCATTAGTCTGTCCCTAGAACAGACTAATAGTAGTAGTTTCCAGTGAAGATGCACTGGAATAATATATGGTATAGTATACTTTAATGGAAAAAACCTGCTAGTAAGAAAGTTCTTCCTAATCCTCCTAAGTCAATGTTTAGTTGTGCCTTGAAACATAACTATTTACAACCCTCCTGTAAAAACTCCTTATGTAACTATGAGTATTTTTATTAATTACACAAATGTCTAAAATGGACCTTCTTGACCCTGGGACGAGTTCAGCTGGTCAGAGCATGGTGGTGATAGCACCAAGGTTTTGGGTTAAATCCCCATGTGCGCCATTCACTTAAGAGTGAACTTGGTGGTCCTTGTGGGTCCCTTCCAACTCAGAATATTCTGTGATTCTCAAACAGCAGACCTCGCTAGATCCAGATGATGAGAAATGTTGCCTAGTTTGTGTCAAGGTCCCAGACTTACTAATTCTCCTGTGTTCTTTTGGAAAATCCTTTGCTTCTCACCATTTCCCTGGAGCTTGGGGGTGCTGATGGGAGCTGCACTCTGTGACTACACTCCTGTGCTGTGCAGGAAGCACACATTGCCAGCCTGGCAGGGCTGGGAGAGGGATCTTGAACTTTGCTGAACAAAATGATGCTTCCTTCTGTAAAGAGCAATGGGTTGGTCTCAGTCAAAGCTTTGCCCAGCACATCTTGCTGGCTCTGTGGGACTTTGTTACCTGTATTTTTTATTTTGCTTATAACTGGTATTCTCTAGTTGTTTCATGCTGGAGTGGTTTTTTTTTTTTTTTTTTTTTATTTTTTTTTATTTTTTGTGAATCTTGAAGAAAGAATGCTGTCACATGCATAGAGCTGGGGAAACTGGCAGGAGTCAGGGTGATGACATGCAGCCTGTTAATTACTTGTCATTACTGACACTCTGTGCAGGTACAGCACCACATGCCGCAGTCCCGTGCCTTCCTCCTGCCTGACTGCACATTGCCAATTGCCAAACATTAGTATTCCAGTGTAAAGCCCAGAACTTGTCTGTGAATACCATTAGAACTGGGTCACTAACAGAAGGTGCGTGACAGATTCACATGCAGAACAACCAAAGCCATTTCCTTCGTCTCGTACAGAGCACAAATACTGAGAGGGAAGGCTGTGTGTACAGTGTGAGTGGAATGACAAATGACAGGATGCAGTGATAGACTTGTTTGATGGCATTAGTGATGCATTCTGCCTTGGAAACAGTGGAAGCAGGTGATCAGCTGGGCTATGTGTGGCACTGATTTTGCCAAATGGTCAAATTTAATAGGGATTCAAATGATTAAGTATTTTATTTTGAAGAGAAAATTCTCTTGCTCAGCAGAATGACTTCTATTATTTAGCATTTTCTATTCTGTTTGGAATAAAGAGGTTTTAACCTCACAGCTTCAGTCTGCATATCTCTCTTCCAGCTCCAGGAATTATTGCTGTAGCTGTGTGCTAAGCAGTCATAAAAATGTTGCAGGGGAATTTGTCATTCCAGAAAACATGGAGTGAGTTCGAGTAGACTGTGTTCTGCCCTACCAAAGTCCCTTTAAAACAGCTAGAGAGAATGGAAGGGAACTTTTCCTGACAGAATCATTCCAACTGCCTTCTGAATCAGAAGAGCATGCTGAGAGACCTTTTTTATATGGAAAAAAATAAATGTGGAAGCCAGGGAAAGGAAATATCTGGAACTGCAAAGAGAAACTGCATTAGCTGAGTGTCAGCACATGAGCTACACAGACTCTGTGGTGCCCTGCTCTGTGTTAGTCAGTGTAGATAACCTAAGAATCATGCCCTTTTAAAGCTTTTATTAATTACTTTTCATCTTTTTTTGATGTGACAGAAGATTTCTGGAGACAAACATCACGAGCATAGATGTAGCACCACACCACGCTCTGCCTCATTCATCTGTACTCCTTTTCCCTGCCAAGCCTCTCATGATTTGTTCACTTTTATTTAAAGCTGGAAAAGAAAAAAAAAGTTCAGAAAACTAGCTCATATGGAAAAGAAAAATCAGGTCACTCAGACTGGTCTGCAGATTCAGGTCATATTCAGCGACATGTTTAAATGGAAAAAAATATGGGAGAATCAGTAAAATGAGGAGTATTTTTCCTATTCTGTTAATATGAAATCTCACTGTTCTTTTGTTTCAAAAATATTGGAAAGACATTTTGAGTCCGAAATACTAAACAGGGATTAAACAGAGAAGGAAATGAGCCAGAAACAAACCAAGCACAATCTCTTCGCAAATAAAATGTCCTATTAACTCCCAAATGGCTTTTTGATTTGGAGAAATGAAAGATATTTTAATTTTTTAAATTAAAATACAGAAGCAGAAGGCAATTATTTGCAATTCTGTCTAAAACAAACAACTGAAGATTTGTTTCTAACATGTTTATTTGTTTAATATGTTAGACAGGTAATGTTATACACATCCTCATTGTGACTTTTCTTCCTGTGTGCATGAATTCCTTTCTGGCACACAAAGCAAACAGGTGTGAGCCAGAGCAAGGTGTCCCACAGGCCATAACCAACAAATAACTAATTGGCATCTATGCCGCAACAGGGCAAAGATCCAGCC